AGCTCGAGGTCCCCTGTCCTTGCGGATGATGAAAGGTCGACCTCGAGCTGAATCGTTTTCAGCTCGAGGTCTGTGACAAGTTCATTCAAAAATGACGACCTCGAGCTGAAAGCGATTCAGCTCGAGGTACCCTGTGCGTTTTGATGACCTAGAGCTGAATTGTTTCAGCTCCAGGTCTGTGACAACTTAAGTTGAAAGATGACGACCTCGAGCTGAAAACTATTCAACTCGAGGTGCCCAGTGTCTCTGGCTAATGAGGGATTGCGCTTGGACGACCTCGGGCTGAAAGCTGTTCAGCTCGAGGTCCCCTGTTCCCCTATGCCTCTCGATGATGAGGTATCGACCTCAAGCTGAATTGTTTTCAGCTCGAGGTCTGGGTGATCTGAATCAATGTGGACCTCAAGCCCAGGACTATTCAGCTCGAGGTCCCCCGTTGTCTTAACTGATGAAGGGATGGACCTCGAGCCGATTCGTTTGCAGCTCGAGGCATGGATGATACACACACTGGGAATTGACCTCGAGCAGTGACCGTTTCATCTCGAGGTACATTCTCTGTATTGTGACATGTGGGCCTCGCCTGAACCCTGTGACAGCTCGAGGTTGAGTCGAGTTGTGATTATTAATGCAATCTGCGCTCATGCTCATCACCTTGACTTCACCTTAAATTTGTGGCTGGCAGATTCGACCGATCTTTTTGGATTAACGCGTGGACCGAGTACAAGATCGATTAGACTCACAAAACCAATTAAAATTTCAGTCATCCGTTCTGTTTGCCACACAGTCGACTCTGCCGTGGGTTTCACCTTCTCACTCAGCAGGATCAAGACTCCTCCATTCATTTGACTTTGGCCGAGTCGCTTGAGTTCTAAGGTGTGTGCTGATCTCTGATTACCAAATTCTCAATGTTTTTCCAACCTCGTTCCAGAGCGAGGCAGAACTTCCTATCTCTGAGTTTTGTTAATTGCTTGGTTTACATTCGCTTTTGTACTTACTGCGACGATCTCGACTTTCCGACGACACAGCTGCTTAGTACGTGAATCCGACTGGAGATTTTGCCATCAATCTCAAGGTAGGACGAACTTGAGACTAGTCGAACTTGGAGTAACTTCGATCCGGAACCATCTCAACTGACAGTTAACCGCTTGGGAGTAAGTGTTTGGTTACTTAGTCTTGAATTCTGCTCTATTGTTTTGACATGTCGCTGATGTCTCCAAAATCGCCCTCTCACTTATTGGGGTCTCGCTGTCCGCTCGAATTTCACTCGATCTGTACAATAAGAATTGGCGAGTGTGGCTGCCTTCACTTGAGGTGAGTAGTGACTCTGTAGCTTACGTCTCCGATATCGACCTCGAGCTGAACGGTCCTGAGCTCGAGGTCGATCTGCGTAGCAAATGGGATGTCGACCTCGGTCTGAAGGGGATTCAAGTTGAGGTCGCCCAAGTTGGCGAGAACTCTTATCCTCGTTCAGAGGAGTTCTCAATGGGGGGTTGACTGATGGTCATTTGTGTCCCTCTTTTTAGTCAGACTTCATTTCGGGTTTGTGTAACGCTTGGCCTCGTGCGAAATCGATTGTGTGGAGTTAATTCTTGCGCGATTGGTAAGTCTTTTCTTCTTCATCTAAGTTGTCTATTTCCACTTGTTCCCGTACACCGCTTATGCCAACCTCGAGGTGAACTGTTTTCAGCTCGAGGTTGGGCTGACCACGCTATTCCCTGGGTTAACTTCTGTCTTTTCTGTATAACTCAGATCACTGGTTTCACCTCCCTCTGTGGCGTGCTCAAGGGTGGAATTTTGATTGGAGGATCTGAGGTTTCAGTATCAGTTGGGGACTCTCCCTCTGCACTCAAAGGGTTAGGGTGTGTCAACTGCAAGATTGATCTTCTGTGAGTGCCTCCTCTGGGTATTTGGTGGACACGGACATGGCACATAAGAATTGGAAGACTGATGGACTGGATTGTTTGTATCAGTTTATCACATTTCTGCATATCACTTCTCCTGTTTTTTTGGTTAAAAATTGTGACTGTTGGTCTGGGATTGTTAGTGATGGTTTGGTTTTGAGAGGTGTATTTTGGAGTTGGTACTCCCTTTGGGGAAGTTGTTGATGTTATTGTTATCAATCATTTATGAATAGGTACCGGATTGCACATCAATTGTAACCTACCACAGACTGGATTCTCAGTGAGTGACAGCTGTCATCATGCCAGCCTGGGTTAATTTTGTTGACTTCCAGGCCTGGTACACTTGACTTATCTGCAAATGAATAGAAGCTGTTTTCCATCCACTTGAAGTGCCACCTGCATACTTGGAGCTCAGTGAGTGCCTCCTTCCATGGTGAGGTAAAGGGGTGAAATGTGTATGCTTATGACTTACATAAATTGTTGTCTGTCACATACAGGAAACAGAAATCTTGTTGGGTAACCCCCTCCACCTTGAGGTCATGGAGGGACTTCTTGATTTGTTGCTGACTTGGCTTCTGTGCTTTTTTAAATGGCCCCTTTGCACCCCTGTGGCTTCACTTGTGTATTTTAGAACTGCCCCTTTGGCCCCATCTTTCTTCACTGCAGAGTCACCCTCAGGAAACAGGAATCTCAGTGAGTACCTCTTCTCATCTTGAGGTCCGGGGGAGAATTCTGGCTTTATTTCTTGTGATTTCTGTTGGATTGGTGCTGACTTGTCATCTGTTCTCTATAAACGTACCCTCATTCAGCCCGTGCCTCCTCACCGTCAGGCTCTGTTGTGTTCATAAGGCCGTTTTGTCCACTGTTGTTATTTTCTTTACAGCCACCCAAGAGGAAGCCAATTTCAGTGAGTACCTCCTTTCAGCTTGAGATCAAGTCATAAATTCTGGTTTGGTTTCATTTGGATTTTGTGGAACTTTGACTGACTGCGGCTCTGTTGTGTATAAGGACCTCCTTTCTGCCCCTGGTGTCAGCACCAAACCTCACCTTTGGTAACTACCTCCCTTCATCACCTGGTCAAAGGTCAATCTGACTGTCTCTATGAAAGACCTTTGGTCCCCCCTGTAGATTCATCCACAGAAAACTTCAATCTCTGTGAGTACCTCCCTTCAACTTGAGGTCAGGTGATAAATTCTGTTATGATTTCATTGCAATTTTGAGGGATTTTTTACTGATTGGACTTCCTTTGTCTATAAAAGGGGCTCTTTCTCCCCTGCTGCTTCACCTGCAAGTCTCTTTTTCCGTGAGTACCTCCCTTCATCTCTAGGTCCAGGGTGAAATTTGGCTCTCAATTGTAACTGACTTGGCATCTCTTGTCTATAAAAGACCCTTCTTCTCCCCTGTAGAGTCACCCACAGGAACCACCAATCTCCGTGAGTACCTCCTTTCAACTTGGGGTCAACTAATAAATTCTGGTTTGGTTTTTTTGAAAATTGGGGGGTTTTTTACTGATGTTGTTTTTGCTGTCTATATAAAGTCCTCACTTGACCCCTCTTTTCTATAAAAGAGCCTTCTTTTCCCCTGTAGAGTCACCCACAGGAACCATCAATCTTAGTGAGTACCTCCCTTCAACTTGAGGTCAAGGAATAAATTCTGGTTTGGTTTTTTTAAAATTTGGTTTTTTTTACTGATGGTGTTTTTGCTGTCTATATAAAGGCCTCACTTGACCCCTCTTGGCTATAGAAGAGGCTTCTTCTCCCCTGTAGAGTCACCCACAGGAAACATCAGTCTCAGTGAGTACCTCCCTTCAGCTTGAGGGCAAGTTATAAATTCTGTTGTGAATTTATTGCAATTTTGAGGGATTTTTCACTGACTGGATCACCTTTGTTTATAAAAAGGCCTCTTTCTCCCCTGCTGCTTCACCTGCAAGGCTCGCTTTCAGTGAGCACCTCCCTTCATCTCTAGGTCCAGGGTGAAATTTGGCTCTCAATTGTAACTGACTTGACATCTCTTGTCTATAAAAGATCCTTGTTCTCCCCTGTAGAGTCACCCACAGGAACCACCAATCTCAGTGAGTACCTCCTTTCAACTTGAGGTAGACTAGGAAATTCTGTTTTGGCTTCTTTTGCATTTTGGGGTATTTTTTACTGATTGGGTTCTGCTGTTTATATAAAGGCCTCATTTGGCCCCTCTTGTCTATAAAAGAGCCTTCTTCTCCCCTGGAGAGTCACCCACAGGAACCGCCAATCTCAGTGAGTACCTCCCTTCAGCTTGAGGTCAAGGAATAAATTCTGGTTTGGTTTCTTTGCAATTTTGGGGGATTTGTGACTGACTAGGCCACCTTTGTTTATAAAAAGGCCTCTTTCTCCCCTGCTGCTTCACCTGCAAGGCTCTCTTTCAGTGAGTACCTCCCTTCATCTCTAGGTCAAGGGTGAAATTTGGCTCTCAATTGCAACTGAATTGGCATCTCTTGTCTATATAAGACCCTTGTTCTCCCCTGTAGAGTCACCCACAGGAAACATCAATCTCAGTAAGTATCTCCCTTCAACTTGAGGTCAACTAGGAAATTCTTGTTTGTTTTTTTTTGAATGTGGGGGGTTCTTATTTCAATTTCTTTGGGATGATTTGGCTGATTCTGTCTGTGTTGTTCATCACATTCTCCTCGCAGGCTCCGCAAACATCTCTGTTGCCATCTCTTGAATAGTCTGATTTCTGTGCTCTAGTAAATTATCTTTTATATGTAAGTGGCTGCTTTTTCTTTGGTTTGTTTTTCATTCGCATGTTTCAGGGGGACCTCCCTTGGACTTGAGGTGGGGTGTAGATTTGGCTTTTTGCTAACTGTTCATTTTGGTTCCATTTAATATCAACAGATATCCTCAACAACTCGTTATTTCCCCTCTTCACCTCGTTATTTCCCCGCTTCAACTCGTTATTTCCCCTCTTCAACTCGTGATTTCCCCTCTTCAACTCGTTATTTCCCCTCTTCACTATATTTTATTCTAGTAAGTACCTCCCTTTGAATGGAGTTCAGGGTTAGGGTGAGACTTTGCTGAGGTCTATTGTACTCCATTGTCATTGAGTTTCTGTAGTTAAAACTAAAAAATGGTAGCTGCAAACACCACCGATGGATTCACAGTCCCTAGCCCAAGAAGGTCGGCACGTTTGGCCACCGTGGAGCCTCTGAGCCCACAAAAGAAGAAACCAATGAGTCCTACGGAGAAGAGGGCCCACGACTTAAGAAACACCCCTCGAGATGACATGGACTTGGACGTGGATGTTGCGGACAAGGAGAACACGGCTACGGCGGGGACTAACGGTAGTGAAACTCGTGTGACGGCTAGTGATCAGATGGATGTGGATGTAAGTCTGCTTTTTTCAGATCATTGAATGAGATTTCTTGGCTCATTCAGTGGGTTGCTCATCATCATTCTCTCCAGCTGTCTGGGCACATTGGGCCTCACCAACTTCCTGGGTATAGGGCACCCGAGGAGGCCTGTGAATTCGAGTTTGGGGAATATCTCCCCCTCAGACTTGAATGCAGAGCATCTGGAGGTCCTGGCTCAGATGGTTCATGTGAACAACCAGATTGGAATCTCACTCTCTGTTGGTTCTTCTTTACAGTCATCCACCCCACACCCAACTGGGTCTCCTCCCAAGACTCCACCCTCACGAAAAAAGTCTAGTCCCAAGAAAACCAAAGGGAAGAAGAAGGCAGCTTCGCCGGTCCCAAGCAACGAGAATAGCATTGGCTTCAGTCCCTTGTCTGAGTCTCACACTGGAGAGCGGCCGATGACGTCAACCCCGGCCGCACAGGCGGCTGGCGAGTTGTTAGAATTCGACTTCAACACCCTTGACCAGTCGAAGAAGGCTCTGCCCAGCGACTTGGATGCTCTTGTCAACGAATTGGTTCCTATGCAAACGGCTGCAAAGGCCACTCGTCCCATCAACAAGGAGCCTGCTCCAGTTGAGTCAAACTCTGCACCTCATCCGCCGAAACCAGTACCTCGAAAGAAACAGGTCAGCTTGTTCATGCCGCACTCCCTCTCAAATCAGGTCCGCCACAATCTGCCAGGGGAAACTCAGACATTGGCTCAATTGGACCGTGAAATGCAAACGATTCAGCTCCCGGACGCAGCAGCATTGGCTTTGATGAGTGTGAAGGAACTGCAAAAGATGAAGGAATCTTGTGAGTGTCTATTCATTGGCTACAATCTGTTAGAAGAATACACATCTGACTTGTTCCTGGAATTGGTCTGTAAATAGTGAAGAAGGTCACGGACGCACAGATACTTGCTTTCAAGGAAATGAGGAGTGCTAGTGGGATGGTAGCCTAGTGCCATGCACAGCGACTTTGGGGCCCATTGCATGTTACCTGTTACCTAATTTTGGTGGTGGGGTAACAAGGTAACTACCCTGACATTCCATCATCCAAAATTCACTTATAAAAATTTCCAAGGTAATGTTACCCAGGTAACTTTGAGGTAACCAGATACTCAACCCTAGTGGGTGTTATGGTGGAACATCTTAGGGTTAGAGTCCCCAGATACTTAACCCTAGTCAGTGTTATGGTGGAACATCTTAGGGTTAGAGTTTCCACTACTTAACCCTAGTGGGTGTATAGTTAATCATGTTAGGGTTAGAGTTCCCATTACTTAACCCTAGTGGGTGTATAGTGAATCATGTTAGGGTTAGAGTTCCCATTACTTAACCCTAGGGGGTCTATAGTTAATCATGTTAGGGTTTTATTGACCCCTACTTAAAACTAGCTGTGCTCATAGTTAATCATATTAGGGTTATTTTCTTTTCTTGGAGAATCTACTAAACTATGATCCCAATTTTTCCACTCATCAATTTTCAAAATATCATTCAAGTAATCCTTGTTACCTACAAAATTTTTGTGGAAAGGTAACATGTAACCACCCTGTGATACCATCCCCCAAACTTCTCCAAAAATATATGTAACTTACCTTAAACAGATTTTGAATAAACCAAGGGTTGGAAATACTTCTTCACAACTTTAACTTCATCTAATCTAACTCATAAGAAGCTTCCATTCCCTACTCTCCCTACTTCTCCCACAATTCCAATGCAAAACTTCCTTCCATCATTTATCTATCACACTTCCTTTCCCTCTTGTTTCAATTATCTATCCTGAACTGAACTTGATTTTTATCTAACCCACCAGGAACATCATCCACTCCCTCCACACTCCCCTCCCCCCTCTACCCATGCCAATTTCACTTCTTTCCTTCCTCTACATGCCTTACCCTTTCAGAACATCTAATTAATTTATTTCACATTCTTCGCCTACCATCATCTCATCTTAATCAAAATAGTGTCAGGATTGCTACTCTCCAATTTCCAACCCAAGCCCCCATCTTTTGTCTTGCTTGAAATTTACCATTCCACTTCTGCCAAACATCTAAGTTCTTTTCTATCCATTGGTGTGTCATTTCAACTGCTCTTTGTTTTTGTCAGCCTTTTTATGGGTGGATTTTTCCTCTTGTAAGTTTCCCTTGTAAGGGTTATTTATGTCATACCCAGAATCACATCTCTTCCTTTTATACTATCAATACTTCTTCCTGCTCTCATGAATCACCATGCTTCATTCCACTTCTGCCAAACATCTAAGTTCTTTTCTATCCATTGGTGTGTCATTTCAACTGCTCTTTGTTTTTGCCAGCCTTTTTATGGGTGGATTTTTCCTCTTGTAAGTTTCCCTTGTAAGGGTTATTTATGTCATACCCAGAATCACATCTCTTCCTTTTATACTATCAATACTTCTTCCTGCTCTCATGAATCACCATGCTTTTTTCTGTTTTTCTTTGTTCTGTCTTTTTTTCTGACAATGCCTTTCACTCTTGGATGATTTTGCTTGACTGTTTTTGTCATCACCTATCTCCCAACGGATTTTTCCTTTGTAATTAGGAATTCAAAAGGTAGTTCACACAATCTGCATAAAACATTTACTTCAGGGCTGTTTTCTTTGCAACCACTTAACCAAGATCCACCACAAACCTTCCAATTGGGTTCTCAGACACAGAATAAACAAAGACATCACAGAATATACACACTCAAACCTGCAGTCCTGTACCTTGCCCTGTCTTTCCTCTAGTCATCTATCTAATCCTCTGAAACCCTTACCTATTTCAATTTTTCTTTACTTCTCTCATATCAATCCCAATTGAGAACATTTACTTGTTAACTTCCCAGTCTTTTCTACTCATATCTCTTAAGGTGAATTGAATTCTTTAAACTAACTTCTTAACTACTATTTTGTTCCAGCTTTTTCTTACAACATGTCATTGAAATGTTCTTTTTACCCCCCACTCTTATCTTCTATCACACCCAACTGATCTCAATTCCTCCTATTCTCCCTTTGCTGTTCTCCACTATATCATCTTGTAACCTAAATTGTTTCTTTCTTTTCCTCGATCACAACAAAGAAAGTAATGCAAAATGCATGGATTCTCTCTGTTTCACTGATTATGTGATGTTTGGATTAGAAGAGGTTTCCCAACCCATCAATCTATAGGTATCTTCCACTGTTTACTCCATGATCTCAAGTGATTTTCTCAATTTGTTTCTCCTCCACCTTGAATGATAGGCTTGTACATTTATAGTTACTTCAGTAATTTAACCATCTTTGAATACTGGTGGATCAATGTACATCCCTGATTCTCTCCCAGGGACTCAGGAGCATTCAAAACCCACTCAGTGGACCTTTTCCCCAATGTAACCTTGATACAGTTACCTGGTGTTTTCTAATCATGTACTGACTTGGATTCCCAAGTTATTTTTTTCCAAATTGGTAATCCTATCCCTCCTGATGCCCCCATGAAAACTAAAATGCCCCTCACCACTGAGTAATGTCACTGGGGCTTTTTTGATTTTCCACTTCTGGAATCAAATCCTGTTGACAGGGTTGAAAAAACACCAATCTTCACCTTTTTGTATGGCATGTGTATGGTTTTGAAAAATTGACTTCCTCCACAGGCCATCAAGAGAGTTGCTCTAGTATCAACAAATTTCCCAACTGGGGAAAAAATTCTTTCCAAATGATAAGTCTATTTTTATTTTTCTCTTTCAACTGTTCCCCTTGATTTCCCAAAGAGTCATGGTTGGAATATGTTGACCCTCAAGTTTATCAAATCCAATCACTTCTTTCTGGCTGAATTTTCTATTTCTTTTTTATTGCTTGAGCAACTTTTTATACCCAGCATATCAGCAGTTGATTATTTTTCTTATATCATTTTTGATTCATTTGTGTGGGCCTTGCATTTTTATCAATCAGGTCTCCATAATTTTTTTTCTTACAGGGTGGAGGGTTTGTTACTTTTTGCCCTGCACATTGGCATTTTTTTTTCTCTTTGCCTTTGTATAAAAATGAAAAAGGGTTTACCTCTGTCATGTGTACATGCTTTATGGAGTGTAACTCTACATAAGATCACGGTGATGATGATGAAATTGGAGTTCATGGCAAGATCAGGGTTTCTATTGTATGATGATCATAAAACAGGCAAGACTTCCATCTTCCTTGTGCTCTGTTCCACCCTCCTCAGGATGGCTTTCCCCTGTTTAACAATCACATACCCAAAACACACAATTACAACTGGAAGGCTTTGTGGATTTGTTTTTGGTTTCTGGCAGAAGTAGATTTTAATGGAAAATATTCCAATGAGAATTATCTTACCACCAACCATTCTCTTTTACTCAACTTTCAGCACTTTTGTGATACTGATGACATGCTCGTGCAATTCTTCTTCCTTACAAGTGCCATCACAATCCGTGATACCTGTAGTTTCTAAGGGTTCGTCGCTTAATGTTAAACTTGTTAATAGTGTGATTTCGAATAACTTGTTGAGCTGAGGTCCCATTCCGTGACAGAGGAGCAAGTTATTATCCTACTTTATTCAAGAAGTGGAGACTCAAGGAGAGTGATTTTAATTCCTCAGATGGGAACAATCCCCCAATTAAAAGGGGTTTTTGGTTAAGAATATTTCAAGATATGTTTTAACTTCATACTTTGACTCAACTGAGTAGAGAAGCTTGGTAATCGATTCCTGTGGAAGCAAATTGAGTTTCAGTTGTTTGATCTATTTCGCTTCATTTTTTTTGATATCAATCGTACTGCAGTCATTTCATTACTCCTTCTATTTTGCCTCTGTATGATTTTAAACAAATAATGAGTTGGAATGAAAATACATAACATTACTTAAAAATTATAACAAGAGCATAACAATTGAGAATAACTGCAAAATTATATCTCAAGTTTATCGTTGTGGAAGGGAGCGGCAATGACTAGTTTTTTTGGCTTCTTTGGGCCTTTTCACCTTTCGCCTTTTGTTTTGCCTTATTCGCGTGAGTGATGGTGGTCTCGCGAGTGGTGTGGTTGAACTGATGACTTTTTTCTCTGCACAAGGTTTTGTGATCAATGTTGTTCTTGAGAATGGCTGTGGTTCAACGTTGCTTGCTTCCTTAAACCTAATCCTGTTACAATCTTATATCATCATCAGAATTCTCTTATTTTGGCTTTGGCTCCATTCGCGTGAACACGTTTGATCACGCGAGTGGAGTTAAGAAAAGCAAGACTATATTTAAAGATGAATGGTGTGGCAGCAGGAGGAAAAAATGAGAAAAGAAGCCTGATTTTTTTCCCTGTATGAGGACTAATTGGGCCCTTTTTTTTCTATGCTTCTTCTTTCCCTGTCTATGTTGAGCCGCCCCCTTCCCATTCGCGTGACCAATGCTGTTCCCGCGACTAGCTGTAGATTCAACTTTGCTTCCTCAAGTCCTTATGATATCCTCATCTGCTCTTTTCTTTTCGAGATTTGTCCCCATTCGCGTGAAAGCCTTGGGTCACGCGAGTGGACTGGCCAGCGGCCTGCTGATTTAGGGTTTCGGTTCTTTCACTTTGGCTGGTCTCATTTGCTGCCTTTCCTTTCTCGAAGGTTGGTCTTGGTAAATAGTCTCTCTTCTTCTCTTTAGACTAACTTTATATTACTCATGTCTTATTTCTTTGCAATTTTCTTTTTAACGCTATTTACAAGATATTTCTCGATTAACGCCCTTCTTTGTTGACTCACTTTTGATCATTATTCACTGGGGTCACGACGTGGGTCTGTCCCACTACTCTCTGGTTCTTCTTCTGACGGCGGTTCTGATAAGGAAGAACTACCATCACTAGCATTCCACTCTTCCCAGTCTTGGTTGGTGGGACG